GATCTTTCTCAGATTGATTTATTTAGTTTTTTTTTAACGTTAGTTTAGTTTCAGTTCAAAATTGTGATCGGTTTTATATCTTTGAATTAGAAGAAAATCATACGAGTGGAATCTTTGTTTGCAGCTTATTTATTTTCTTCTACTGAACTAAGCAAGCAATGAAATGAGGTGCAAAAGATCGATTTTTTTCTCAAGCATTTGTTCCGAATCTTTAGATATTTTTATTTTGAAACTGTATTTAGCAAAATTGACAGTTAATTTGACTTTTCACAAAACCAAATTATATAACAAAAGTTGTTCAGTCGAATCGAATATAAAAACATGAAAATGAGATCTCTTAAAATAATCTATTCGCTTAAAGAAAGAGGTAGAAAACTGTTTCTAATTGAAAATTTTCTTTATTGTATCATGTCATATTGTTGCATTGCCTTTTTCTATATTTAAGTTCGACCGGATTACGGCGAACAATATCAATATACGTCTTCATGTCAACGATGGTTGAAGTCTTTACAAACACACAAATCCATTGGTATATACTTTGAAATACAATGATTTTGTACGAGACAATACACTTATAATATAATCTTTTTTTTTTTTTAGTTCAACATGTGGCCGTCTTTGAACAAGACCTTTGTCAATTGAAGGAGAACTTAAAAGAATTTACCTTTCTCAATGTTTATGGCAGAACTGATCCCAAAAAAGTTGAACCTTATCGGTTAACGGTCCAAACTCGCTTCCCTCATAGTCGAATAGATGTTGAGATATCACAATTTCGTTTGTGGTTTTAATTTTTTGTTTGTTATATACGACAAATGTGTGTTAAAGATAATTATAATATAACTGACTACTTATTTTCTTGTCTCAATTTGTTTTTCGTTTTTACTTATCGACTGTAAAATATTTGTATTCAATAATGAAAATATGAATATTATTTTTCAAATAATATCTTATTATTTATCAAAAGTTTCATTATTAATGAAAGGAAAATTAACTTCATACTGATCTATTTTATACATAGTCAATAGTTTCCTCTTGTTTTCGTATTGCTTCTAGTCATCATTCAATTAGACAAATTAAGGGAAAAAAACCTATCTTTAATAGCTTTGATTGATTGAGCTATTGGATCAAGTTTTGAAGAAAGTTCTTTAATTAAATCTGTTTGTAGTTGAGATTGTCGAATAGCATCAAACTTTTTGGGGGGAATCATGTATAACTTCGAGTAATGCTTGTTGTTGTTTTCATAGGTTATCAATTGTTTGTTGAAGCAGTTGAGTACCTCTTGAAATCTCGTTTGTAAGATCCGCTATATAATGATAATAAAATTTTTATTATCAAGTTTTGTTCGCTTATAACGAATCATTTACATTGTGTTTTTGAACATTTGTTTTTGATCATTATTTTTATCAAAATTTTGTGATAATTGATTCAACTTAGAGTCAATGTGAACAAGCATCCGTGACCGGTTTCGTCTTTGCTTAAGGGACTCATCAGACGGCATGTTCAAATTAATTTCACCTGTGGTCCCCCACAGCTCTCTTTCTTAAAAATTTTGTCCCCGGTCCTCTAGGTGTGAATTTTTGACGAAAATTTTTTTTCGAAATATGTTATTCGATGCAGTTTTTAACGCTCATTCCGAATAACATATCCATTTTGTTATATAATTGTATCATGACAATAACAACCGCTAAAAATACCTTATTTTTATTGGAAAACCATCAGAAAATATTAACTATGAGAGTAATGCAAGCTCTGTTTGAACACCATTAGACCCTTTTTTTTAACTTTTTTTTACCATTTTCTAGAAGAGAAAAAGTTGTACAATATCTAGGAAATTCAGTCTGGGCTCTCATAAAATGACTGAAATGTCAGCTGATATACTATAAAAGACTGCTAGATTTTAACCGACAAAATGAGTACTCATGGCCACTATTTCTCATACGACTTTGGATCAATCCATTGAAATTTAATATGTAAATAGCTGATTTTATTCAGTGTTTGATGCTCTATCTTTTGTTATATCACAGTAAACATTTCGTTAATTTCGTATTATATTAACAGACTCAACTTTACACGGATGATTTTTGATGATATTCTTCATGCAACCGTGACAGTACTCATAAAGTCGTATCTGACTAACTTTTCATCAGCCTATCGAAACGCGCTAAAAATTTGGATTTAGAGGTTTCAGATGATGCTCATTAAGATGAAAATAAAAAATGAAAAAAAAAAAATTTTTTGACAAGGGCTTCGATATGGGACATGGTCCGCGATGACCTCATGGACGCTCTCTTAAAAATAGGATTTGTTCAACGAAGAAGAGGAATTCTTGACAAATGACCATCAAATATGAAAAGAGACATTGTTTATCAACTATTTTCGTTCAGAACATACAGATCAGAATGAAAACATGAAAACTTTTAATAAGATCGATATTAATCAAAGAATGCAAGGGAGATTTCGAAAACCAAAACGAGTTCGGCAAATATCTTCTTTGATTTGTTTCAAAGAATAACATTCTTTTCTTTGATTTCGACAGAAGAAACTCAATGATAATCAATATTCTAAGAGAATTTTCTCAAACACGATGCCAATAAATGGAATGTTCATATGTATAGAGAAAGATGTGTTTACTCTCCCTCTCTTATTTTGTTTCTAATAGAGATAGCTGCGAAATTCTAGTAGATTGTCAAATTGTTAGCAAAGTCGAGCAAATATCTGAAAGGTAGATTTCATCTCTTTTTTTAGCATTTTCGATCATATTGTTTAGTAGTCGAAAAACTGATACACATATGTTCCTCAATCTCTTTATTTCCAATATAAGAAAATCCGTAGTTTTTCACATATCTATTCCGTAGCGATTGTGCTAAAAGCTTTGAAAATAGATGTTTAGCTGAAAGAAAAGTAAAATTTATCGTTTTGATTTGCGTAGAATTTGAAGTTTTTTCCGAGCATTTTTCAGTTCGTATCTGTCTCGAAAAGATTCTCGAAAGACTTGAAAAGTGATCAAGACAATTCCTAGCCTCAAACCTCATCTTTCAAATAAAGAAAGTTTTCGTTCTGGTTTTGATGAAGAAATCGAATGACGACGCTTAAGATTTCAAATGTCTAACACATCAAAAACAAGTATGTTTAGTAACATTCTTAGATTTGTAAGTTCTTCAAAAGTTCTATTACAATGACAATTATCATCAATGATAAAGAAAGACATTTCAAAACATAACTTCATATGTTCAGTAGAAGAATAACTCGACTGGAAGATTTCCATTCGATAGACTATTTTAACATCAGATGATAGAACAATCTCCGATAGAAATATATCTTGTGCATTGATCGTCACTAACTCTGATCAGCACTGCTCATAAGCAGTACGCAACTCGTTTTTCTCTCAGACACATTGGTGTAGCGTTCTCATTACCGAAATTGTCTCTTGAAACGGAGAATATTCGAAAGAAAATCTTCAACTGGAGTTATTCTTCTAATTTCGTTAAGAAAACAACTTGTGAAAAACTGATTTTTTTTTATTTGATCACGACCGTGATCATCTTGCAAATCTCGCCGAAGTTCCCAACGCCTATTTAGCTGACATTTTAATCTGTATGAGAAAGAGAAAGAGAACCATGTGTAATATATTCACAAACTTTCGTATGAATTTTATGCACTATACTAAAGCTGACACTGTCAAGAGGAAATAATCGAAAGTTTTTCTTTCCAAGAAGAAACGTCTTAACCATTCAATAGAAACTCATTTCTATCTAAGAGAAATCATTGAAGTATCGAAGATAAAGATTAAAAAAGCTTACGTTCAATTGATTAGATCATCGAAAAATATTATCTCGCAAAGTTCAATGAAGAATATTTCCGACGAAAATAATTTTATGATGAAACTTGATTTTTCTTTCTAGTACAAAATCATTGTATCAACGATGCCTGTCGTTTATTTTCGACAATAAATGAAAAATCAAATTATTTGTGTGCAACCATGTTAAAAGATTACTAAAGTAGTATGTTTATCATTTTAATATTGAAATGTGAGCTGATTTTCAGGTCTTCTTTCAAATAAAATACCAGAAGAAGTGCTTGATTTATTTGAACAAATGCATATTGAATCTGATCAGATTACTCTCACAACTTTGCTTAATGTTTGTGCTCAACTTGCTAACGATCGAGCTAAACAAATTGGAAAAGAAATTCTTAATAAATGCCTAAATATTTTCAAACGAATAATTATATACGAAGCTCAGCAATAAATATGTTCATGAAATTTGGTGATGTTCAATATGCTGAGCAGCTGTTTGAAATGATGAAGAAGAAAGATATTGTCACATATGGTGCTATGATGAAAGGTAAATTGGCAATGAGAATTTATTAATAGTTCGAAAAATTCTATTTAGGATATGTGGAAAATAATATGAGTGAGAAAGCATTAGATTTATTTGAACAAATACCTTTCAGTCTGAATAATGTTTGCTATATCGTTATATTCAATGCATGTGTACAACTTTTGAATGATTGTGCTAAACAAATTGGAACAAAACTTCTTGAACTGATGCCTAAACATTTCTATAATAACAATGTTCTGATTACTTCAGTAATAGATATGTTAATGAAATTCGGTGATGTTACAACTGCTGAACATTTCTTTCAAATGAATAAGAAAAAGATTCTTGTCACATATCGTGCAATGATGAACGGATATAATATAAATAATGAACCATTAAAATGTTTCCAACTACTAGAAGAAATCAAAGAACATGGTTTTATACTTGATGAAATTGTATCAATCATAGTGATAAGTGCATGTACACGACTTAGTATGCGTTCAATATGTCAATCAATTATAGATCACATTCCTTCACATATCTATAACAATCAACGTATACGTAATTCATTAATTCATGTGTGGGTATGTATTCATTGTTTAGATTCCTAGAACAATGGATTTAATTTACTCATTTTATTTTGTCGTAGGGTAAAGTTGGTTCCGTTGAAAAGGGTATTAGTAAAATACGCTCTCACCCACTCTGAGCGCCGTTTCATTCGAAGATAGTATCGGTGTATAGAGCATAAAAGTCCTTACTCATGAGACCACACCCGGACCCCTTTTCTTCAATAAATATTAGAAAAAAAAATTACATGTCGTTTTCATGGGTTCACTTTCACCTACTCTCACCCGCTCTCACCCACTCTCACCTGCTCTCACCCACCTGACCCATTCTCACCCAGATATTAATAAAAGAGTATGGATATGGGTGTAAGTGGGATAGGAATGTATGTATGAGTGGATGTTCATGGTGGGTGAGTATGTAGCGGATTTAAGCTATATCTGGACTAGGGGTGTTATATTACCATTAAGTTAAAAATAATGTCAATACCTTCTCATTAGCATTAACCGTCAATAGTAATGCTTTGGCATTAATTACATTAGAGTTAATTAATGCTTAGGTATTAGCATTAATTCAGTATTATTTTTAATGCTAATAGACATACTTTGTGAGTTCTAGATTGCCATCTTGACAAGCTACGTTTAACTTTTTAAGGGTTACCAAAGGATGTCCTAGATGATATTTTAAGTATCATCTAGGAGTACCTACGGTAACATTTCAGCAGCTACCTGGGGATACTCTTCGTATCTTTTTAAGAGCTCCTTGGGGATATCCGTGGTAACATTTTAAGAGTCATGGTAAAGGATACTTTTTTGTGGTTGTGCAGCTGCTACATCAACACTATAAGTGTTCAGTTCAAAGAACCACTCAAATATAACAAAGAATATTTCATAATGAACTTTTGTGTTTGAGATAAGGTGTCCGCTGACCAGAATAATGAAGATTTTCTTGAATAATATTTAAAACACTTCACTGGTGTTTTAATTTAAAACAAAGATGCTATCTCAACTATGCAAAGAAGGATGCAAATGCATAGAATAAAGTACTGCAAAACTACGTGAGATTAATTTCCACCACACTCAGACAAAGTTGGTTCCAGTTTTGAAGTACCTAGAGGAAAATTCGGTTATGTTGTCATTGAATGGGAGAGTGCCTAAGTATGAATGGGAACTTCTTCAAGATCTAGTATTTGAAATTTTGGAAGGGTGTGGGTGTGTGGGTGTGGGTGGTGGTGAGTGTGGATGTGGGTGTGGGTGGGTGTGGCTTGAAGGTGTGGTTGTGGGGGAGTGTGGCTTGAGGGAATGGGTGTGGGTGAGTGTGGCTTGAGGGTGTGGGTGTGGGTGTCGATGATGAAAGAAGAAAAACCCACACCCTATCATTCCAATTATTATTTATAAAGTTTTTCATAAATAGTAGTGATATAACCACGATATTTCTTCGAACACAAGCATAACTTTCATTTGGTTTTGCTTGGGAGAGAAAGAATTAAGGCGCTCTCTCTACTCCATTCGGGGCTTTCTCGGTAACGGCTCGACAAAAATGATCAAACTTTCAATTGTCATAAGCTCAAAATTCATTCCCAGATGCTTTCTTCACGAAGATACGGGGGTTGGAAAGACCAAAAAATTGCCAGAAGTTTTTCCTCTCCGTAAAACTCAATGCTATATTTTTTTTTGAGCTGCAATATTATTTTATGATAAATAGGATCCAATTGAAGTGCGAGTGTTTTTTTTCTTTCAAAACTATCGTCCATAAAACTCAGAAGACGCAAAATACTGAAAGCGCTGTCAAAAAATGTTTTTTCTTTTCAATAAGACTGATCTATAAAAAGGCTGCCGAATTTCATAGGAACAACATTTTGAAGGAGAGAAAAACAAAACATGCAGCGCCAATTTGACCAAAGCACTAATTAAAAAATTTAAGCCCTATCGACATATCGTGTAGAAGAAAAGATGGAGAACTTCATTGTTTTTGTTAAAAAAAACAGGTTTTGAGAAAAATGCAAAAACAAACTTTGCCATGCTCTCAGCACTTTTGGAATCCGAAATACTCATTATTATTAGGAGAATTTCACATACAAATAATAGGCGTAGCCTGAGTTTTTCTGCTAGGAATTTCGAGAGTTAGATTTAATAAAAGTAGTAACGAACAACAAAAAGTCTTCATTTATATAATATTTAACGGAGCACACTTCGAAACTACATGAGCGAAGGAAGGGCTCCACTTGATGGAGAAAATCTCCTAAAGAGAAACCATTTGTTCATCTGTTATTTTTTCAGAAAAATATGTTCTTAGCTGGAACGTTTAGTACTCTCATTCTCAATCCTGAAAGGATGAGTATAGACAACGGAAATTGCTCGTCTGTTTGTCCGCGCTCTGATTGGTCGAAAATTGAACGCCTGTTTCTCGACGATGGAAGCGATTTTTCGAGGTTTTCTCAAAACTGATATAGGTTTTCGAGAACGAGGAACTCGAATCGGCGCTCCATTTGCCTTGAAATCCTATTGGTGGGTCAGAAACCAATAGAAATCGAGTTTTTCGGAAAATGGTTTTCTAGGGGTAATTTGATGTGGGGAGTTCGAATTTGGGTTGCATTGGTCTCGAAATCTTATTGGTGGGCAAGGAACCAATAGAAATCGAGTCTTTTGAAAAAACTTTCACTAAAGATATTCAGATAAGGGAACTTTGAATTCACTGTCTCTGTGGACAGACGAAAGGAAATAAAGGTCCTTGGTGGCTGGATGAAAAGTAAAGCTGCATAATTGGCGGTATTGGCATTATGGCCACATGATGACTCGTCGATCTAGACTGACCATGATGACTCACCTGTCTAGACAGCGAAGCTAAGGTCTTGGGCAGCTATATATACCTGTGCCGTGAAGGCAGTTCTTTGAGTCATAAAGAGATAGCCGTCAGTTTCAGTAGAAGTAAGTATCTTCATAATGAATGATTTAGTCTTTTTGTGAGATAGATTGATAGGTCTATATATATTCATCTGAATGAACGGTGAGATGATAATATAGGAAGGTACCCGAGTTCCATGAACATGCATCTATATCTATATTTACATGAACACTATTGTTTAATATATAAGTAGACTTCTGTTCGTTAATTGCTTTTTATTGCTTTAGATTGTTCGAAAGTCATTTAGACTCATCTTACTGTTTCAAATTCATTAGAATTTTTGTTTTTGGCGAATTTTGTGATATTGATTTGATATTTTTTTAATCGATATCTATTACAAGATATATGACTCAAGTAGGTAGTTGAACCAAATATAAACGTTTCGCTTTTGTAACAGTGCATAATAAGTTATCTGATTTTGACAGATTTCTTTTTTTTCCTTTACAATCAACAATTTATCCTTTCAACTTTTCTATTCTGCTAATCAGCTGAAATCAATTTACTTTTAAAATTAAACCAAATCGGGTATGTTATTAGATTTTTGATAATGAAATAGGAGAAATTTGCAGCATCCTTCAGACTGAGTTTGTAAAATGATATTATTCATCGCGATATCTGTAATGAAAATTATTCCATTAATTTGTTTTGACTTAGGTAGAATTAGAAGAAGAAAATTCTTTTGTTCAAAGAAAAGAAATAATATTCTGCTATAATCTAAGTCGTAAAAAGAATGATCAGCTTGCCAACTTCAACGCAGCTGTAGAAAAAAAAAGCTATAGATACTAGTTGGTATCCTGTTGTCTTTAAAACAAGTAAAAGTTGCAGATAAAAGAAAAAAATATCAAGTTAATTTGGGAAAACCTTTCCCTGACATTTTAAATTTGATCTTTTTTCACTTGGAAAAATCATTTATGATCCGATATAGATCGAAATTTGACTTCAACCGCAGCCCGTAGAGTAGAAAAGGTAGCAATAGATACATATATTAGTGAGTGTTGCTATGAACTTTCGAGATTATAGAAAAATAGCAATATCAAAATATGTTTAACAAAACCATTCTATGTCTAACAAGTTAAAAAGACATTAAAAGAGAGAGATTTTTTCTTATCCCTTAGTTATGTGTTATAGACAGTTATACTTCTTCATAAAGAAATAGCATAGTGAGACATCTGCATTCTATTTATAACCTTTATGATTAAAAGAAAAATTCAGCTGATCAAAATACGAAGTGTCTACGCATTCAGAGATAAAAAAGTTGGAAATAATAAATTCACTGACCTTCTTTTAGTAGCGATAAGATTTCGGATAATTGTCTATATAACATCAACGAAAAAATCTTATTGTTTTTTTAGAAAATTTATTGTGGAATGACTTCTACATGCGTTGTTTGTAATTGATCTACAGATGATGCCTGCTGTGTTGCCTGCGTTAAATTATCCAGAAACCAACAATTTATTCATCTTCTTAACAAATTACAACAAGCGACAACAACACTTAATCCACATGATGAACTGGTTATGGTTGTCAAAAAAATTCAACATGTATCATTTTTAACCGAACCTATCACATACATACCTATTAAACACTTTAATCCTTCTGTCCAAAATATTGACCAAATAGCCCAAACATATTTATCTCAGAGTCAGTGAGTAGTTTGAAGATATAGTGTAGTTTGCTATGCGGTGAAGTATTTAAATCTCATTTTTCTTTAGAAGAGCTAATATTATCCGAGCAGTTCCTAGAATAACACATGCTAATGGTAATTGTCTTTATAACAGTGTACTTAGTCTAATGTTATCGCATCATGTTTCACCAATCGAATTACGTGTTCGTACAATAATTGAACTTGTAATTCATTACCATGAGTATACATGTAATTATACTCATAATGTGGGATCACTTCAAGAACGTTGGAACGATATATGTAAAGATCATAGTTATTCGGATCTTTATGAATTAGCAGCGCTTTGCAACGTTTTACGATGCAATATTCGCAGTCTTTACCCTCGAATCGACTATCACTCAGTTAGCTCTACGCATTTTTCTGATGGTTTTATTTTAGTAAAAATACTGCATATATTTTAGTATTTTGAAATTTATAATCGTACATTTCGTTCAAATGTTTCAACCAATAATGAGATTACTATTTTATGGTGTCACACAAAGATAGAGGCAGAAGCGAGAGCATACACGAAAGGAAATTGGCTTCCGAACCATTTTGTTCCTATCGTATTACTATCAGACACTACGCAATCAATGGTTAATATACAAAAAAATTACGAAAGCTTGAACGCAAGTTTGCCTGATATTAATGTAAATCTATTTATAATTATTCTAATTATTAGTTATCAATATATCTCTGCTACTCGAACTTATGTCTAAGATAAAATCTAATGAAGGTCTGTTTCTATCATATAATTTCAATCAGATAAGATATACCGAAAATTAAGTAGAAAATCAATAGCTATATTATATATAGGAGCAAGTATGAAAGATGCTGAATAGAAAACTAGAGTATGAGTCAAGGAATTGTATATAAACCAATAGAAAGTAAGAGCAAGAGATGATTGTTACAATTAAGTAGATTGAGATTATATTCATGTGTGTTTGAATTATACAAAAATGCTGAGCGATATCTATTCGACTTAGATGCATTGTTTTAATTCACTTTAGCCTTTGGAAAAAAGTTCAGTTGAACTTAACGTGTCTTTGACAACAACAGAATCAGAAATTACATTGGATAATTCATATTCAAAAGTGATCAACAATGTCAATATGGCAACAACTACTATGGTCTTGCCAATGACTAAATTAGTTATGCGACTATCTAAAGATGCAATAAGAAAACGTAAATCAAGAAATATGGAGACACAAGAACAAAGAGCTCCTCGTTTATCCAAACAACGTGATCTGACAACGAGAAATAGAGCAAATGAAACTGAAGGACAAGTCAAAATGCGACTCGCTAAGGACTCAAATCGGAAAGCACCCAGTCGGCTTAATCTAAATGAACTGAAAAAGTACCAGCTTATACAAAAGGCTATTATACGTCGCCGTATTCGAACAAAAGAAAAACTAACAAAAACAAATCCGTGGCCTGCTGTTATTCCTTACAATTATAAATGTCAATGCCTTGAAAACTTTACTAATTGTATGTCAAAATTGAATCTAACAGAATCAACTTGTGCATTATGTAATATCCGAGTCTTTTCACAACATATGGTTCGTGTACCCATGATTACACTGAAGAATGAATTATCTCTTCGTCCACATATTGATATTGCAAAAATTATTCCTGGTTATGAAAATCTAATCATTGATGATGAAAATTATATGGAAGTAGATTTTATCGAGGAAGATTATTCTCATACCTATCCACGTATGAAAATTTGTCCATGACATCTTTAGCTATTTCTAATCATCAATATTCTATTTTTATTTTTAAGAGCTCTCAAATCAGGCATATGATCAAACATTTTTTTGTGAAGGAAATGTTCTCTTATATCGAAAAGGGGTATATGATCAAAATGATGATGAAAATGAACGTGTTTGTTTATTATGCAAAGATTGTCACGTACCGTTCTCAAAAGAAAAAATTCCAAAATTTTGTGCAACTAATAAGATGTGGATTGGTGATGTACCGGAAGAATTAAAACATTTAACGATTGTGGAGGAAAATTAATTGCTATTTATCGACATAATGCTTGTGTAATTAAACTCCAGTCACCATTTCATTCATCATCAACGTCTCAATCAGCATTAAGAGGAAATGCGATTACATTTCTACAAAATATCTCAAACATAGCATCCAGTCTTCCTTTAGCTATGCCAACTTTATGTGACACGATCAAAGTGATCTTCATCGGATCGCGTATGCCAACATGAGGTCAAGCAAGAAAGATCCTTACGCTTCGTAAGCAAAAGGTACTTAATGCTTTACAATAGTTAAAACAAAACAACATTTTATATGAAAGTATCACCATTAATTTTGAAAATTTAAATGATTTACCAGATAATGATATTCTGGAACCACTTTGGGCTACTCGAGAAGAGCATTCAAATATTAACGAAGTTGTAGATCAGAGAGAGGGCTACGTTTCTGATCCATTAATCGAAGCAAATGAACATGGTGAAAGAATTGGTGCAGATGTAATTCCCGTCAACGTGAGTGGCGTTCTTGATGTTAAAGGAACAAGTATTACATCAGAAGATATTAATTATCATTTGTTACAAAGACTGCGTGTCAATTCTGCAAAATCGTCGATAACACTTGGTGAAAAAGATTTAAATGATGATGATGTTGTATACATGATTCCACATGGAAGTAAACCTACAAATGAATATTTGAATTCAAATCTACTTCCTGATCTATATCCAACTTTGTTCCCGTATAGTTTTGGTGGTCTCGAAGATTCTTCACGTCCAGTGAAAGTATCAATGAAGGATCATGTTCGGTATTTGCTTAATTAGGATGACAAGCGTTTCGAAAAGCACCATTCATTTTTATTTATTGTTTTTAACATGATGCAACGAAGAGAAGCATGCTTACAAGCACGCTTATTAACTTCGAAACCATTTTTCACCGAAGATGCTCAAACAATTGACACGATCACAAGTGATGAGATACAAAAAGTATTGGCACAAGCTGTTGAAGGCTCTTATTCTTCCAATTATAATTCTCGAACCAATACATTACTTAAAAATATTAAGTCCATTGGTGGTCATGTAATGGGATCAGTTCATCAACAATCTTCATTAAGAACATTAATTCATGCTTTAATCTTTAATCAAGGGTTATTTAGCATTTTTTTGACTATTAATCCAGCAGATACTCACCATCCTCTGACAATGCATTTTGCTGGCATTGATTTTGATTTAGATAATGTTCTGCCTGAACATTTACCATCAACATATGAACGAGCAGAAATTGTTGCCTCACATCCAGTTGCTACAGCAACATTTTTTCACCATTTTATTTCTTCAATTCTTGCTACTTTGATTGAAGGAGGTCCCGGTGGTGGAGTTCTTGGAAAAATTAAGGCATATTTTGTTACGGTCGAAAGTCAAGGGAGGGGCTCTTTACATTTGCATATGTTGATATGACTTGATCATGATTTAACACCAGTTGATTTGAAAAATAATGTAGAAGATGACAATTTCAAAGAAAAATTAATTACTTATCTGGAAGATATTGTGAAAGAAGATCTAGAAAAATTTCGAGAAGCCATTCTTACTAGTTCAAACGAGCAACATAAGTTTGTTTTCGATATTTTAAGTATTTTATTATCATGCTGGTATACATGATAGTTAGTAGTCTCACGGTCGTGTTGAAATCTTATACAATCTACTCAGATATTATTCAGAAATATATGTTCCTTTTTGAACATGTTATTATTGTTAGTCATATGTAGCAATATTATTATTAATACATCAATTAGAAAGATCAGAATATACATTTTCTTAATGATAGATTTTTAGATCCTTAGAGCCTTCGTTCCTTATTTTCTAGAATCATATGACATAAATCCAAGAGCTGATCTTGCAGCTTGTCGACTAACTCCGAAACCATCAACATTGAATTTTGATACAATTTTTCAACAAGATATTATAGAACTTGTAGAACAAAATAATATTCATAAACATACAAATACTTGTTATAAACATGCCAAATTGCGAGGAAGTGCCCAAAAGTGTCGAATGCGGATGCCACGAAAGATCATTGTTAAGTCCGAAATTGATAGTGTAACGGGTACAATTTCCATGAAACGTAATCATGAATGGATCAACAATTTTAATGAATGGATTATGTCAGCGTGTCGTTCAAATATGGATATAAAATTTGTGTGGTCGAGTAGTGATGCGAAAGCTTTAGCGTACTATGTTACAGATTATGTAACCAAACCAAGTCTGTCATTCCATGATAGTTTGGCACTCATGGTGAAAGTTACGAAAGATTTTGATAAGAAACCATCTAATTTACCTGATAATATTCATGGGCGTTCACGACGTCTGCTTCTTAAAATGCATAACACATTGGCATCATAACAGGAAATGTCTGGTGTGCAAGTGGCTTCGTACATTTTAAATTTCCCAGATCATTATACTACACATGAGTTCCAAAAAATTTATTTGATTGCTATTGAAAATTATTTGGAACAGTGTCTTCGTGATGGAAAGGTTCAAATGGAAAAAGAAAATGTCGTTAGTCAAAGTAACTACCTTTCGAAAATTTGCGTAAATTTATTATACTTTTTTCTTCATTGAGGATCAAATTGATACACCGAATGATGATTTTGAATATAATATAGATGTTATCGATGAACAGTTTCTTATAGAACCATCTGAGCACAATACGATGGTTCTTGTAAATAGTCGTATTGATTATCAGCATCGAGACAATACATTGAACAATTGTTGTTTATATAACTATATAAGCTGGTTTAAAAAAAAGAAGATAGATGAAAACGACAAAAAGTTTTTGGTGAAAATATCAGAGGAAACCACTTTGATATCACGTGGTCGTCCAGCAAATGATCGCTACAGATTTCGTTCTCAACATCCTCAATATTCTTCACATATTTTAATGAAGTGGACTCAACCACGGGTGCCAGTATTGGTTGGGCCAATGATTCCTCGTCGTGAACGTGATGATACAAAAGAGCGTTATTATCGTGCTATTTTAACTCTTTTCGTACCATGGCGTTCAGTTACCGATTTATGTAATATTAATTAAAAAACATGGGAAGAAGCTTATATATCTAAACAAAATCTAATTACTACAGATATGCAAAGAATAATTGAAAATATTCAACTCTTACATGAATGCAAGAAAGGTCGCGATGAGCATCTTCTTCAAGTCATTCAAGAGGATGACGCAGGCAATATTGATCCACAACTTGTTTTACAACATCAAATAAACAACAATGTTGACGAGGATGAAATTGATGATATCTTAAATATGATCGCCAGTATTGGCGATGCTGTACAGGCAACAGACGTGCCAGCAACGATCATCAAATCCGAGACTGCTTATTTTAATGAATTATTAACTACAATATCAAATACAAATCGTTTTCCATATTTAATAAGTAAGAAACATTGTTCTCTCGACATATATTGCAGACATTTAGAGTCTGTTGACGATTACTAGTCTAGTATCGTCTTAAACCTTCAGATGAATGTTGAGATTGGTCCAGAAACTTATCACTGACTATATCTATCAAAGTTTTATATCACCCCACCCCATATTTCTAATACTATATTCGTACGTGTTCAATAATCAGCAAACACTACCCTTGAACAACGATCCTAAATATTATTTAATATCATCTACACCCCAATTAACTAAACAAAATGCGCAGTGACAACTAGATCTTCAACGTGAAAAGCAAAAAGTTCGAGAAACTATCATGAATGGTTCGGAAATTGATCTATCCAATGGAAGTTCCATTGCAAATAATTCATATGTAACTGTTATTAGGAGCGATTCTTTAATGGATATTAATAGTTATAATATTGAAAGCCAAATTGACAACATTCAATCTGTTATTAAATCAGTAGCACCTATCATTTCGCGTCAAGAGGTAATAGAAGAGTTCACGCTAAACGAAGATCAATGTCGAGCCTTTCTTATCATCACATCTCATCTTGATGGAGATAGATTTTTGAAGCAGAGTAAGATAAGATTAAATCAATTTTTTCATAATTTGCACTAATGTTTCTATAGACGACGTTCAGCAGCAACTCATTATGTGTGTACCAGGTTCGGGTGGTACTGGAAAGTCTCAATTAATAGGTGCACTTACCCGATACTTCTCTTTGACAAAACAATCTCATAAACTGCGCAAACTCGCTCCTACTGCTATAGCCGCTACGAATATATGTGGCATGACTATTCATTCATTTCTTAAAGATTCCAAAAGAAAATCAAAGAAAAAGCGAGTATTAACTCCCGGTGATAGTTCAATTCAGAATGAATGGCATCACGTCCAATACATTTTTATTGATGAAATTTCTATGGTTGGTTTACGACTTTTGGCTCGTTTCCATGAGATTTTAACCATTGCCAAAAGTTCAGATCCAAGTGTACCATTTGGTGGCATTAATTTAGTCTTCTTTGGTGATTTTATGCAATATGCACCTGTACTTGATAAACCTTTAATCACAGACATTTTTATGCAATTAGAATCATCTGTGTCTAATTCAACAAGTGAAGTACAAAAATCATTAAGTGAATATGAAATTCAATGTCAAGTTGGACGAGCTCTTTTTCTTCAAGTTAATGTTGTTGTAAAACTTACAATGCAGATACGAGTGGAAGACAAAGAATATTTAGAAGCACTTGATCGATTGAGACTTGGTGAATGTACTATGAAAGATTATGAACTATTTCGTTCATTAATTATTGGTCGGTCTGGTGGCATCCTCCACTCATTATCTGATACTTCATGGAATAATGCGCCAATTCTAGTTTATCGAAATGAAATTCGTACTGAGCTGAATAACCGTGCAGTAATAAACAAATGTCGTGAATTAAATTATCCTTTAATAGTATGTCTAGTTCAAGATAAAACAAAATCAAAGATTATTGATGAAAATAATCATAAACGACTTCATCGTTTCCTTCTTTCTTTACCTGATAACAAAACTGAATCACTTCCTGGTTATTTACCATAAGTTCCTGGAATGTCTGTTCTATTAACAGATAATGTTGCTACTGAACTAGGTCTTTCAAATGGAACAAAAGGGATATTTCATAAAATTGTATATGAAGACTTAGACACTACTCTTGATCACATTGATACTAAATTTCCTAAAGGTAAAACCTCTCTATTTGGTTATTTTACTCTGAAATCAGAATAGTTGGGAATGCTTTTCGTGACTAGCGTTAATATTAAACTGGCTGAAATTAAAAAGTTTTGTAGTTTTGAGTGTGGCTGCATCTTTTGACTTGTGATAGGGGTATCGGCTTAGCATTAGCATTGATATTAACTAATACTAAATTAATATCAATGCTAATGGTAAGCCGACACCTCTACCTAGATAATTGTTTCCTTTCTACAAGGTTTTTTACTGTCTAATATATTTATTTGTTCATCATAATTGAAATAAAAGCAAAGCCTCTTGCTCTCTTAAGACTAGACTGTTCAATGTTTGAATTCTGATAATTGGTTATTTTTTTCTGGAAGTGGTTGTTAGCTTCAACTGTTCTTACTTTCAATTTTTTCCCTCTTAGATACCATTTTTATTCAAAAACCGTCTTATGCTCTTGTGGAAGTACCAAAAGCAAAAATTAGTACAAAATTCGATTCTCTTGATCTACAAATGATTCCAATATCTCTTGTCGAAAAAATGTTTGAAGTAAATGTCCAATCCCTATTTTCCACTTCTACGAATTCAAAAGGTAATCGCTCAAATTTATCAGGTTCAAAAATCACCGTTATACGTAAAGCTTTACCTTTTGTACCAGCTTATTCCATCACCACCCACAAGGCACAAGATCAAACAATGTCAAAAGTTGTTGTTGATTTGCGACTTCCACCTGGTAGAGAAGAGATTGCTTCTCGTTATGTACCATCCGGACGTGTTAAATCTCACCACGACGTTGCTATTTTACGAGACTATCCCTTCTCAGCATTGCAAGTAAAACCAAGCAAAGCTCAACGAGCTGAACTTGATCGACTTGATCGATTAAACGAAGTGGCTTTAGACATATATATCGTACTTGGAAACAATAATTGTTAATACTTGTTGGTTTTTTTAAGTTTTTCTATTTTTTTAATTTTTATTTTGAAAAAAATAAAACCATAGTTGTGATCTTACACTTTATTTCCAATATACATAGAATCCAAATATCTATCTTGCGATTCTGCAAGTTATGCACTTGCACAGGAAATGTATCAGATATTTTAGTTTCTACAAGAAAGTCTTATTAAAGTTTTTCTATTTGGATAAGTTTTGGATTAAATATTTATATTATCAAACATTCTTAACTGAAGAACTTATTGAGATGTTTTCCAACATAAATTTCGACTACCCGAGTAGATAAATACGTTTTACATACAAAAGAACTACAAACTGTATATTATTGAAAAGCAAATAGATTTCAATACTACTTGAGGATTATGTTCACAAGATAAACTTTTTTAATTTTAATTCAGTCACATTTAAGAATGTATTTAATAAAATAATACTCGATGCTCTATACCATCTTTCCCTGCTTTCAGGATTGAGCTAAGCGAGGCTTATGGAGCCGACGCGTTACTTGTTATTAATCGTGACCACTTATTCTTTCGTTAGATACGAACAAAAATGTTTTACAATATCATCTAAATCATTTTCCATTCCTTCTAGTTTTAGTATACAAAATTTCGTAGTTAATTCTAAGGTTATTTATGAGAGACTATTTCGGAGTTTCGTTTTAATTCGTTGTAGTGCACGAAAGCTTCGTTCATATTCATTAGATAGAATTGGTAAAGTTGTTCAAATTTGATTTAATTGAAACCATTCGGGTATCAAATATCGAACTCGATTTCACAAATAGTTTTCAATAGTATCTATTAAACAAATTTCTGATATGTTGATGATCAAAACATACTTGTCATGTTTGTTTCATCTTCTGTCTTTTTAATATATAATCTGCTATAATTTAAAAATGTTATAGAAAAATTCAAAGAAGAAATGGTGAATGAAAGAAAATTTTTAGAGGGAAAAATAATCCCGCTCTTCCTCGTCCTAATCGTATGGACTATCAAACAGGTATTTTGTTCAACAAAGTTCATATAATCGTTATTTTTATTTCATTATTAATATGTAAATCGAGCAACACCCATAAATAGAGAGAGAGAGTGAGTGAGCTCCACAAATGAGTAAAAGAAAAAATAAGAAAAATAAACACAAGCTAAGAGCAAAGAACATATATAAACAAAATAATAAATAAAAGAAACAAGAGAAATAAAACTCTTTTTTTTTTCAAATAAGTATATTTCTCCTTATGATCAATTAATCTTCCATTGAATCTTCATGTCCATTATCCATTACTTCGTCTTTTTTAGAAGATTTTTTCTTTTTTTGATTTTCTTTTGCTGATTCTTTATCATTTTTTTCACTTTTGTAAGCAGCCATTTTTTCTTCGTATTCGGCTTTTTCAGTATCGGACAATTTTTGAAAACGTTGTTTAGTCTGAACAAACATAGAAAAAAAAAGAATTTATTCAATATAAATAAATCAAAGAAAAAAAAGACTTACTGCAGCATCAGCAGCTTTCCATTGAGCACCAAGTTCTACTATAATTTCTTTTGCTGATAATCCTGGATTTTCATTCTCAAATAAACATGAGAAATTAAAAGAAAAATAAAACGATTCATTTAAAATACATACTTTGATTTCATCACGTTTTTCAACAGAAAATAAAATATAAGCTGTTCGATATCGTTTTGGTGCATTTGGATCTTTAGTTCTTTTGTTCGAATTTTTTTTAGCAGATGTTGTCGATTTTGATGATGTTATTGTTTTTGTCTTTGTCTTTGTCATTTTTAAAATAAAATAACAACGAATATATAATCGCTAAGAAAAATGTTTACAATAATTTCAACTAATGCATATAGTCGGCTGTTTATATAATCGTTCTTTGTTCGTCATCGTTGTCGACCGATTTACATTTTCTCGAACATTTCGATACCTCGATTTATGGTTTAATACAATGTTAATCTTCAAAACATTATTAATGTATTAAATATATGATCATTAAAAAGAATACCTAAAATTATCCTTTACATAAAGTGAAAGAAAATATTTGAATAGAAAAATATTTAAAAAAAAAAGTTTCGATGGTAGCGTCATATTTCGATTGGATCCATTTTTTGTATTTTCCATATTTTTCTCTAATGTGAAAATGTAGAAAGAACAAAGAAAAGAGACTTTATCGATTTAAAAATTTCATATTATTAATTTTATTGATTTAATAATTAAAAAAAATACATATTTCGTTGATTTTTGTGATAATCTTCAATCAATGATAAGTATGTAGTTATCATTATAGAGTAGAATTTTTTTTTTCGCTTCTTTTGTTTAAATATACCACGTATAAAATAAAGACAAAAAAAAGTCAATGTTTATGTTTCTCTCTATCACATGACTATTATTTTTTGTTCTATGGGGAAAACAATATTTCTTAGTATCATTTTCTTTGAAGTATATCCAATGGACACTTGATTATTCTTTTTTTTTGCATATAATGCATATCGTATGTATATTTCTCTTCTGTGTATGTATTATATTATGACATGGCTGTTTCCTTCTGTTAAACGATCTGGAAAAAGAAGAAGAGAAGTTGTTGGAAAAGAACAACAATAAATAGATATAAGCAACTGAGACGTCAATAATAGCTGCTCTAAGAATAGGAAGACGAGAACAACAAATGACACCAACAACAAAATAAGACATTATCATTGATACGTCTTTTTCTAAGCAAAAATAATTATTTACTTTTTTTTCTCATATTTATGAGGATTTTTATTTAAAAAATGAGTTAAAAAGACATGATTTAATCATTGTTTGCATGTCATGTTTAACCAAGTAAGTCAATCTGATATGATGATAGAAAACAGAAACGAAAAGAAAAAAAAACATATCATTGCTTTTTTTGTATTCTCTCATGTCTGGACATGCTTAATCTGTTCATCGTCTACTGGATTTGGCACATTCTTGTGTCATTCGAGTACTTTAAATAAGATTGACGAAAGAATAAAAAAATTGATTATTGTTTCTGTTTGCGAACAAGTCTAATCATTCTCTCTCTTGTTCAAAGCATGTGATCATAAGTAGAATATTCAACATTTTTTTTTCTTTCTGCACTTGTATTGATTGAATATCTGAATTGAATGATGTAATATACTCATTGAAATATAAAAATGGTCAGATTGAGGTTAGTATTGCTATTTTTCAAATATTGATGAAGGACAAATAATGAGAGAATTTTTTTTATTATATGTTTTATCAAAATTAGAAGAATGAAGGGGTAATGTCAACAAAATTTTTTTTTTTTTTTTTTCAAAGAAGAAAATGATTGATAAATACTAGTTAAAACTTATTATATGAATATGAAGTTCTAGTTTATTTATTAAGGAATGATCTGTGAATCAATCAATATCATATTCAACCATTATTTATAGCTTGAGGAGACCTTTGAGAGAAATGGATGATGGCCTTTTGCCCACCGGAAACAGACATACGCGTCATTTGACCACCTTCTCCTTTTTTCCTGATTCTATGATGTATATATCCCTGGAGCCACACACGCACACATAAATATATACATACACAGACTTCCGTCTGTCTACTCTCATTTTATTGATTATAAAAAAAAAAACTTCGGCATTGAATATCATCATTTAGTAATTCTCTCGTTTATTTTCATTTCACCTTTCTTTCTTTCGTTTTTTTATGCATAATTTCTCAGTCCTTCAGTGCCTACCATTGACTTACATCTTTTAAAGCGTGAATAAATAAGCCAATGTTAGAACCACATCAACGTACTAATCGTTTAGTCTACCTGTAGTTACTATTGAAAAAAAAAGTACGTATCTGCATTGAATTTTATTTCGTTAAATGATATATTACTTGTTGAAAGAAGAAACTGAAAAAAAAACAGAAGATTTTATATTCACATACGTATATATATATATCTATTCAAGTTTAATATTTTTGAAAAAAAAAAAACTCAATTCAATATTTCTTTTTTTTTATTTGATTTTATAATCTGATGAAAAATGTTATTTATCTTTGGATTGAGTATTGATGAACTTGATTATCTTTATATGTCTTGTTGATATTGCATCATCAGAGCGATGATCAGCGAGTAAGTTCAATAGCTCAGTATGTGGTCAATAGTAATATATTGAAGACGAATGAAATGATAAGACCATCTGTCTTATCGCGTCTACATATTGTTGATAATCACAATATAGAGAGTACTTCCGGACTGATGCTCACACTCGTCTATCCTATTTAATGAGCTTGTCTTTTCTTTATGCTTTTTTATTGCATCAATATCAGACAAACACTTGCTTCTTTACTGTACATATCATCTTTATATGTCAAATTTATACTTTAATATGTTATAGGATTCAAAACAAATGAATCAATAAAGTAAATATAAATTATTAATGAAAATAGAAAGAGATTGATTTCTAGACAATATAAGTACTAATTTCCTTTCTCTTCTTTTATTCTTTTCTTTTCATGTACAGGTGCATATATGTTTGTAGAGTAGAAAAAGAGAACTTAATGAACTTTGTATGGTAGTAGTGATGTGATATATGATGGGTGAAGATGTCTCACAGTTAGTAGACTAGGACAATTAGCCAGTACAATATCGTTCTCTTTTATCGTCTCTTATTTTGTTTTTCTCTTTTGACACTTCTCTTTTTTTCTCCTTACTTCTATTGATAGAATTGTAGAAAGAAAAGAACAATACTTTTTCTCTTTCAGAAAAACACCATTATTAATAGGAAGAACTATGCATTATTATTATCTTCCTTGTCCAAAGTAAATAGAAAAATTTTCTTCATTTTGTTTGAATTAATATTTTTATTTTGTTGTTTTTCTTTTTTTAGAGAAAATTCTAATTAGACAAATGAAAAAAGCTAAAAGAATAACAATATCTCGATCAAGTGATTATTCAGGTGGTGGTTTTGGTTTTACACTTCGTCATTTTGTTATTTATCCACCATCAGTTTCTGTTAATGACCTACTCCAGGTAAATTTTATTTATATAGAAGTAAAAGAATAAAAAAATAATATTATTTTCTATTGATTAAAACAAACTTTAGATCTAAAAGTTCCAAAACTCGAGTAATACAGTTCGATATTTTTTTCTTTTGCTTCTTCTTCTTCTTCTTCTTCTTCTTTTATCTATCCTAACATAGTTAATTATGAAAATTATTTAATGGATTTGTTAATAGTGGGAAATAACGATATTTTATTTTATAAATGAACTACTGAAGATTAATCTTATTTGTCATTGAATAGGCTTCGTATAGTGTTGTGATAGATGAACATCAGCAAAAGCAATTAGACGAAAGAAGAGAAACAAAATCAGCAATAATTCCATCCACTATTTCATCATTGACATCAGGCACTCTCATACATCATCAAGGAGACCAACAACAAGGAATATTATCGTCAAATTCCATGAAAACTATCGTCAGCGGTAAGCAGAAAGAAAGAAAAATTATCGTAGACATTTTTGTTACTAGTCTATACCATAATTGATTGATGAGACATGTTATATGTTGTATGAGTAAGAAAAAAAACTAACAGCATCGTCTGGTTCTTTTTATTCTAGATAATGTCGAAGACGATGGAAAAACAATTGGAAACATTCATAATGAAAATCTTCAATCAACAGATACAATTTTTGTTAAAGAAGTTCGTTCGGATAGTCCTGCTTATAAAGCTGGTTTAAGACCAGGTGATAGAATATTATCTGTTAATGATCAATCAATTCGTGGAAAAACTTATTCACAAGTTATTGCTATTATTCAAAATACGTTCGTATTAAAACAAAATAAGAAAATAGAGAAAAAAGGTTAACCTTTATTTTATTTTCTAGTCCTAATGATCTTACACTTAATGTTATATCAAATGAAGATGACACAATTTCTCATGTAAGAATATATTATTATTTTAGATCTTTTTTTTTTTTTGAATAATAAATATAATTTAAAGAATTCAAATGAATCACGTTTATCATTAAATCGTTCATCATCATATCGTCCTTCAACAACAAATATGTCAAAAAATACAATTGAACAAAAATTACGTAATTTACAAATAAATTTAGCTCAAGGTCGAACACAAGAAGAACTTGCACAAGCTGGAATTTATTTTCCTTCCCAATCTTCTTCTTCATCAACACAAAATATATTTTCAAATTATATTGATTCAGTTCATAAAGCATTAGATTCATCTAAACAAACATCAAAAGAAGATTCAACATCTTATTATGAATCTCCTTATCATAATGAATATATACCTTATGATTATAAAAGTTCAACATCATTTCAAAAAAATTTAAATTCATCATATTTACCATTAGTTAATTCATCATCAAATATTTCATCACAAGAACAAAATCAATGGACATGTCCAATAACATCTCAACAAGAATTAAAATCTCCATCATCAGATTCATTAATAAATGATAAAAGTTCAATTAATGAAAATGATATGAAAACAGAATTTGTTAATTTTCGTAAAAAACAATTTGAAACAGGACATGTTGAAAATTTAGTTCATGATACACAACGTGAATCAAAAACAAAAATTTATTCTGAAAAGAAAAAATATGAAAATGAATGGAATCGTTTAACAGCTGTTGCTGATGTTGAATCTGTTATGAAACGTGCAGCACATTTTGAAGATATTGATCCTGATAAATTTGCTAGATTAAAATCTAAACTTCCAACTTCACCATTATCACAAGAAGGTTCAACATTTCAAGATGAATTTTTATATGATATTCATCCAAATCAAATCATTTCTTATGATCAACAATCACAAACACCATTTAAAATGGTTAAACCAATATCAACAACATTTGATAGAAATTATTCAATTTCAAGAGGTAATTTTTTTATTTTTTTTTGTTTTGTTTTATTTAGAATTTTAATATTTTCAAATTAGATTTTATTTCATTGATTTTTAAATCTTTGAACAAATATATTAGGCAAACATTTTCAACTCTTTATCATTGTCTAGTCATCGAAAAAAACCAAAAAAAAAAAAAAACAAAAACAATGATTTTTCATTATCTTTATCTTATTTGAGAGAGTCATGCAAATCTATCGATTTTCTGATCAATTTTATTAATGTACTAATCATGATCAAAATCAAATGTAGATATTCTAATAACGATTCTTCTTTTCTTCTTCTTTCTTTTTTTTTTTTTGTTTGTTTTTTGTTTTGCTCAAGAAAACAAATACGAACAAAAATTCGATTTAATTTATTATTTAAGATCTTAACTCTAGTCGAATGATTTGTAAAAATGATTGATCCGATGATCTAGGATAATTAGGGATAAAACTAAATTTATAATGCTTTTAATCTATGCAAATTCTATCGAAATAACTTTAATTTGATATTTATATTAACCTTTGATATCTTATTTCATTAAAAATCTAAGATTTTATTTATTTCATAATCAAAGTATTAAAAGATGATTGAAAAAAGTCTTTTAATTCGTAATGCATAAGTATGAATATTATTTTAAATTTTCAAGACGAACCATTATCTTTAACTGAAATTCTAAGAAAGAAGATAATATCTATTATTAAATATATCTACGAAATAATAATCATCTCAAAGAAAAACGTTCTTAACAAACCTCTTTTTTCTGATTCAAAAATATTTCGAGTTTCTTTTTTGTTTTTTTTGTTCTGGTTCATATACACCGTGGAATCTTCTCAATCTATTGGCATCAGTGACAGAGTTATGAAGGTTGACTAGGTTAAAGTCTATCCTAGATTCACGCTTTATCTTTGACTAGGTTAGGCTCAAACATTTTTCGAGAAAATGTCAATATTTTTGTCAGATAATTTTGATTACATGCTTATTAACCTTTTTCAAAAGTGAACAAGTTCACAATACAACATATTTTTTTTTGTGAAACATTTCTCCATTGTCATTAAAATTTATTCCGATAAAGAAGATTAGAATTTCTTCTTTCAAACGTCACATTTCAGTTTCTTATACGAATTGAGAATTTTTTTCTGATCTGCAACTTTATTACACATTGAAAAATGTGTATTTGATAGATGAGACACTAACTATATTTCATCTAAGTAGCATTGAAATATTCTCACTTATTTTTAAACTTTCAGATGATGATCTTATTAAAACTGTTGAATCTATCCCTAGAATGAAAAAATTTCGTCGTCTATGTATATCATCTACTTGATATATTTCAAGAATGAATATAGAACTATACAAGTCAGAATATATAGAATATTTTCGTTAAAAAATTTGAAGATTAATATATATTACTTCGGTGACTTTGAAAAATGAAGTTTTTGACATAAAAAAGTTATGCATTGATTTTCACCGAGTTTCAATCAGAGAACATCGAATTGAACTGAAACTTTTTTCTACTCATACTAGAAAGTATTTAAGATGCCTATTTGGTTTTTTGTTTCAAAATATAATAATGTACCGTTAGTTTTTGCCAGGTTTTACAAACAAAAACTTCTTGAAAATACGCTCGATATTTCAATCTTTTCAATTGAGTGGAAGAAAATAAAGAGAATACACAAAAAAAAAGTTGAGTAGGGTAAACAGTGTCTAGTATCTGTAAAAAAAAGAAAGCTTGAACTCTGTCAGATGTATTGTAAGTGAGAAAGCGGAATGGTTAGGAAGTAAGGGAGGATAAATTTAACCCTTTTGCGATTTAATGTCTCCTAGAAAGAATCATTCAGTAATTTTAAGTCTATAATAACTTTTGTTTTACTCATCAAGATTTATTTACCTTTGACGTTTTTAATTATTCTGATTATCTATTCTCGAAAAATACTGGAAACATTAGAATCTCTTGAAGTTCTATTTCTTTAAAAAAAAACTCTAATAAAGTTCTTTTTTCTACTGATAATATGTGAGACAGTTATGCTAATTTCTGGAAAAGTAATTATAAAATAACTGACATATGTTTTCTATCACATATGGTGGATAATGTTTTGTTTCTTTTTTTTAAAAACATAAAAATTTGTAAGATAATATTATTTTAGCTGATGAAATGAATAGAATTGAATATAATTATGATCCTCAATATATGATTGAATCACTAAAAGGAAATCAATCTGAAACAACACCAACAAAATCTTCATCTCATTATTCTCCATTAACAACAAATGAAAAGTTTGTTTTGTTTTGTTTTGTTTTGTTTTTATATTAATTATTTTTAATATTAATTTAGTCAACGATATTCATTAAATAATTATCCAGCAACATCTTCATCACGTGTTGGTGGAGTTAATTTAATTCGTCAAGATTCTTATATAACAGCTGTACGATCAGATCATCAAAATGAACAAGATAATTTTGGTAAGATTAAAAAAAATAATTTATTTTTTAGTTTAGATTTTTTCTAACCATAATTGTCTAGTTAATTTGCATGCTTTTGATCAGCTTATTTTTTCCTTCAACCCTGAAACACCTATTCTTCGACGCAAAGGTTTTATATTTCTTTTCTTTTTTTTTCTTTTATTAATATAATAAATTTATTTTTTTTTTCAAATAGCATCTCAATATGGTAGAACATTGGAAACATCAGAACCAGAATTAAAACAACGTCGAACATCATATTTAATTGCAACTGATCAACGAGTAGGAGCAAATCAAGGAGGTTATGTTCCTTCAGATTTTGTTAGAACGAATAAAAATGATAATTATTCTTATGATATTCATCATCAACAACAACAACAACAACAACAACAACAACAACAGAAATTAAGGTTAAATAGTTTTTCATTAATTAAAATATAAAAAAATTCTTTATTTTTTTTGTAGAAATGCATCACAAAATCAAACTCAAGCAATTAAAATATTAAAGAATTTTTTTGGTGAAGGAGTAAGTCAATATTATAAATAAATTTCTTATTGAAATTAAAATAAATTTAGACTCCAGAAGTAGCTCGTGCACTTGATCAACGTTCCTTATTATCTTCTCCATCATTATCAATTAATCAATCAAAATCTACTTCTTATTTTAATAATAATTCAACAACGAATCAACCAGAATCAATATCATTAACAACAATGACTGATAATATAGAACCATCGAAAGAAGGAATACTTTATTGTAAAACTGTATTAAAAGAAGGTCGTCGTGCACCTGATCGTTCATGGCGTGGAGCTTGGGCTGTACTTAGACGTGGTGCTTTATTTCTTGGAAAAGAAAAAAAACATGGATTATTAATTCCACTTTCATGTGATTCATTTCCAATTAGTCTTCAAAATGCTGATGTAGAATTAGCAAATGATTATATTAAAAAACCAAGAGTTTTTAAATTAATAACAGCAAATCAAAGTGAATTTTTATTTCAAGCACCAGATTTACAATCTTTAGCAGAATGGTTAGATGCTATCAAAGATAATTGTATATCATCCCAATTAGAACAAAATAAACAACAATTAATTATTAATAAGAAAGATAAATCTCAAAGAAAAAGTACTTCATCATTACCACCAATTGCACCTACTCATCATTCTACCAGTGAACAAGAGTATGTATCATATTATTATAAATCAATCCTTTTCTTTTTTTGGTTTTTTTTTAGAGTTAATCAATAAGAAAGATATAGATAGAGATTTTAACAATAGAGAATATGCACTAACGAGAAAACTATTCGAACTGATAATCGCCATTTTACCTTATATTGGGTTCACAAGAAAGTCTCTGAAGCAGAATCTGAGAGGTTTCGAAATTTTTTCGAACCGAGCTCAACCTGACAGGCTTTACTCTCAATTCAAGTTGTGATCATTTTACTGAATATAGGTTTTTACTGAAAAACCAGATAACAGTATTTCCATCTGAAATTTTGCTCAGAAACAGATTGAATGACTATGAGAATATTTTGAAATATTCATTTTGAAAAGAATTTTCCTTTGTTAAGATATTGAATTTTCAAAAAATGGTCGTTTGCCACAAAAATCGAGTTTACTTAAAAATTTCATATCTCAATAAAGAAAAATTCTTCTCGAATGAAACTTTCAGACTATTCTACTAGTTATTCAACCTGTTTACGCATGAAATTTCAGATCGAAATAGTTTTATTTGTCTTTTCTGTGAAAATCTAAATTCAGTAATACGATCATAGCGTGACTACAGAGACCCATCGATAAGAACCATTTTAGTTTATTTTCTAGTCCTACAGATACTTTCTTGTAAAGCCAGTATGATCTCAAATTGTGGATATAGGTTCAGATAGTTTTCTCATAAGTCTTCATTTTTATTTTTCTGTTATTTTATTTTTTTCATGTTGAAAAGTCAGCAAGTCTTTTCTTTTTTCTACTATCTATTTGGTTCTTTCAATACATGAAAAATATCCATGTTTAATGAGAAATCGATTGTTATATAATCATTTCTTTATTTGCATATAACAGAAATGAAGAATAAATATAAAAAGTGAACATTGAAATTAAACCATCAAATTTTCATAAGACATTTTATAAGAATGATTCAGTTCATTCGATATCAAATAAATAAATGTCGCTTATAGGTTTGATTAGTCTTTGTTTGAGAAAATAATAAAAGTTTAATATTAATTTGCCTATTTTTCTTTTCAATATCGAAAAAAAAAACCGTACATGTCAAACTTGAAAGTTGAATTCAATTATTGAATAATTCAAACTTCAAAAGTTAAAATTTAATTATTTCACGAAATCGGACACACACACACACAGAACTTCTCTCTTGCTGAGTGCTCTATGAAGTCTTAACACACATACAAAAAGAAAAATAATGTAATTGAATTCAATTTTTAGGTTTGACAATATTGAGTAGATAAGGTCAATATGACGACTTATGTATTAGAATAATTTTCTCAATTTGATAATACATAGTAAAATATTGAAGGGAACCATTTAATAAGAACGTTCAAGAAAACGAGCCAGATACTGGGTCAACAAAAACCGGAGAGAAGAAAGATCAGACGCATATAGACATTTGAACACTAATTATAATTTCTTGTGTCGTTTTTTAAGCATTTTCTCTTGGAATGAAGCAATGGAGAATCAATCAATCAATGAGTATATGCGCTTATATAGAACTATCTGTAAAAACTATTTCGAATTTACTTTTAGATAATATATGATTTAATAATAAACAAATTTTATAATGATGTAATTGCAAAAATATGAAATTCTTGTTTAACAACGGTCTCGTTCTTTATGTGATAAAAACACGAAACTCTTCAAAAGAAAATGTTCAAGATTTCTCTTGTATTGTCCATAAAGAAGATATATAGCCGTTCGCCGAAAAAATTCTAAAATTTCCTTGAATATTCCTTAAAGTTCCTATTCAAATGTAATAAAATTCACATTACATCTTATATGTTTTGTATTTGTTTTTGTTTCTAAAATAATTTTATATATAGACAATTAATCTGTCTATCATTCTAATAATGTTGTCTGATTCACCGAGTGTCCATATCTTTGTGTAGAACTGTTTAATTGGTTCAATAATCGTTTAGTGGAGAAAGAGGATTGAACGAAATTCTAAATCTTGATTTTTATTTTTTTTGATCAGATTATTGAGTGGACAAAAATAAAATCAATTCTATGTTATTGTAGTAATAATAAAAAAAATATCTTTGAGTAAAATATGTTCTTTTTAAAAACATATTGGTAACTATGCGTCAGTCAAAATTAGAGAGAAGATGATCGAAAATATAATATCGATTTTGACATCTTTTATGATTAATTCTAATCTAAAAATAATAATTTTGATTTCTATTTCTATTTCTAAATAAAATATAATTTAGTTTAAGACGTCGAACTGATAATCAACATAAATTGACTCCATCAAGTGGACCAAAATCAAAAAGTTCACATCGAAGTCCATCATTAAAACGTTCACCTAGTCTTCGTTTTCGTAAATCTCAAAAATCTACAATAACTCAACCAACTCAATCCACATCATCATTAAGTGCATTAAATTCTTCATCAAATGTTTCTCCTCGTCGTTCATTTGTTAAATCAATTGTAAAAAAAGGTCTTCGAACATTAAAATCTTCTTCATCATTATTAACAAGTCAAATGAGTGGACAAATTTATGATGAAAGTAGTGGAGAATCATTATCATCAACAACAGGTGCTTGTACACTTTCACATGGAATTAATTTTGGTATTGAATTAGAAGAATGTGAATTATCATCAATATCACGTTATATTCCAATTGTTGTTGAAATCTTAACACGTCTTGTTGAATTACGTGGAATTAATTGTCAAGGAATTTATAGACATGCTGGAGGTTTAACAGCTGTTAATTGGCTTGTTCAGGAATTAGATAAAGGAGCTGAAAATATTGATTTTAATTCTGAAAAATGGTATGATGTTAAAGCTGTTGCATCAACATTAAAAACATTTTTTGCTAAATTACCTGATTCACTTTTATCATCAAGTTTGTTTAAAAAACAAAAAAAAAAAAAAAAAAAAATANGTGATCGTTTAGTTGAATTAAAACTACTTGTTGTTCAATTAGATGATTATCGATTTGAAACATTAAAATATTTATGTGCTCATTTCAGAAGAGTTGCTTCTAAATGTCATATTAATAAGGTTTGATATTTTATTTTTTTAAAATTATTTATTTATTAATTTTCTTTTTTTGTTTTTGTTTTTTGTCTAAATAGATTGATGCAAGAAATTTAGCAATTATATTTGGACCAACATTAATTTGGGATTCAAAAGCATCGTTACAATCAAATCTTGTTGATAATCCAGAAAAAATTAGAATTATTGAATCATTTATTTTATATGTATGTTTATTGTTTTTATTATTTTAAAGNCAACAAACTAAAAACTAAGGAGAATCCAGTTTGAATAGATAAGTCTGTATATATATGTTATAGACGATGTTAGAATTCAGCCCAATTCGGAATTCGTCCAGACGAAATTAGAATTCTAATTTCGACTAGGCGAAATTGGAATATTATTTTAATAAAATCGCAGGACTTGAAGAAATACCAACAATTAGATCACAAGGGGGTCTGGGTGAAGGTGAGTCTAGATGAGGGTGAATATATGAGCGAGATTTCGGTTTTGCAGGGTTTTTCATTTTCCTTTCACCCTATTGCCTCACTCTCATCCAGACCGCCCTTACCATTACAGAGACTACCTCCTCACCTTCATCATTATTCGTGACCCCCTTGTGATCTAATTGTTGGTATTTCTTCAAGTCCTGCGATTTTATTAAAATAATATTCCAATTTCGCCTAGTCGAAATTAGAATTCTAATTTCGTCTGGACGAATTCCGAATTGGGCTGAATTCTAACATCGTCTATAACATATATATACAGACTTATCTATTCAAACTGGATTCTCCTTAGTTTTTAGTTTGTTGTTATTATCAGCATCAACCATTGACTTTTAATAATGTTATATCATGTATATATATATATATATACTGAACTTTTTTTATCAGGACAGATACTGTAAATGTCATTTGATTGATGTCAGACTAGTTATGTATCGGATACGGATCGAGTATTCATTCTTGATAGCAAACAGGCTCTTTATTAATCCATCACTCTCAGTACAATTGAACTCGATCGAAATTCACTTATTGAAGTCGAACTACATTATTGCAAGATTGAACTCGACTCGAACTCGAACATAGAAACTCGAGCCCGAGTCGAGTTCGAGTTTACATATTCGAGTTCAAGTCGAGTTCGAGTGTACATGTTCGAGTTCGAGTCGAGTTCGAGTTTGCATGTTCGAGTTCGAGTCGAGTTCAATCTTACAACGTTCGACTCGAAAACTCGAACTCGTGTTCGGGATTGGTACATGTCTATTTCATATTGAGATGGTGTAATTACATCAGCAGTCTATTCAAACCAATTGGAAATTAAAAAATCGATTCAAATTAATTAAAAAGTTTTAATCGATATTAACCAATTAATTAGATGCATAATTTTGCTTTTTTCTATATAATAATCCAGTGTATATGAAGTGCTTTTGTAATTGTTATTCTCACTGATTGCACTCACCTCACGTGTGCCTCCTACTTATAAAAATAATTAGTTTTGCTTTATGATTGCTTTTTTAGATTGATTAAACCTTGATTCTTGTTTTGCATGAACTTGCTATTGTTTGAAACCAATTTCAATCGAATTATTTTATCTAACGAATGTTTTTAAAAAGGCGCTCATATCGGTCGTAATTATGTATACTGTGTTTGTTCTAGAAATTTTTTCCTAGGAAATATGATGTGGCCTTTTTGTCTACTTTAGCTAAACCAGCAATTAATATTCTAACAACAATGCCTGACAATACTACAAATCATTTAGTTCTATATAGACTTTACTGACATTCTTCAATAGCTTTAAACCGATTGAGGAGATTAAAATCGATTAAAGATTCAGCTGAAATTACGACTGAGATAATAAAGAATAATCGAAGTTCAGGGCTATAACTTTAATCGATTTTATTCGAATTATTCTTCACAATGCGGAGATTTCAGAGAATAAATGAGATTTGTACACGAACAGTCCAAAATAATCCTTATTTTCTTAGTAATACTTTTTAGCAAGTCCTAATCATATAGGAGGGTGTAGGTGTGAGTCTTTAATCACACACGCTTTCCCAGGATCCACTAGCACATCCTATACAAATAGACCTTCCCACGCCCACTCTGTCAATGGGATCATTTCGAGTATCATCTCTGGTGACTTTGACGAGATGCACATATTATGCTTGAGAGATACTCGTAGGTTTTGTTGTGCTAACCTAGGAAAAATTCCAATGCTGCTTTTTGTAAACACCAATGGCATGTATAAAAATTAAGTAGGTGGTGGGGAGAAGAGGTAGAGAGAGATGATGCAAGTATTTATAAAACGCTGCGTCGAAAAACCTGAACTATTCGACCTTTTCCAGAAGAGATGAATGATCTTGATTTGCCACTTTGGTGCACTACTGCTAGATATTCAAGGAGTGTACAAGAATACTTATTGAGCTTGAACACACACGTATCTTTCTAGAATAAAGGATGAAAAATAAATAGTCAAATGTATGTAGAAATTTTGGAGGATCTTAGTACTGCGCCTGAAGTAACGCCAGTCATTGAGCTGTCATTTACCTACCTAATCCAAGTTGTTTCTTTTCTATTTAAAATGAATACGAGATTCGCTTTCAAGTTGGATTAAAATTTATTGGTTTCCAAAGGAAATTCAGAGTTGAACTAAATTGCTGAGGTTGAACTGTGAACACTCGTTATAGGTTTTTCTATTACCTACTATATCACAGAACTCATTAACAATGGTCAGCTGAAGCATACCAGCACCCTGGTTTTTTTATCGAACACGATTGGTAATGAGTGTTGAAGTTTAGTTTATAACCTAAAATTGAACATTCATTAATCTCTACTTCAAAAACTGAAAAACATGTTTGTAAGTCTGTAACAGATTTTAGGAGTTTATTAATACGCTTGACATAATATTTACTGGTAAGAGAAATTTGTGTTGTGTCGACCTTTAATCTCTGTCAGCTGTTTTAGATGAATTAATATGTCTTTTTTATTAAGATTATGATTGATTTATTTGATTCCTACTTCAGATAATGAATAATTAGTGACTTCGGTTGTTTTGATTATATATCAATCCTTGTCTCTTATCACTTACTCAATTAATTCGCTCGTACGATCCGTAAGTATTATAATTAAAATGACTCGTACAACAAATGCTATTTGTTCAATGAGACTATCGATAGAGGAAACTTTTTTCTAGTTTTTGTGGCTTCTTTTATACATGAATGTTAGCAAAATACTATTATACAACTAGTGCATCGTTTCACCGGAATCTAGTCTAGTTGATAGGGTTGAAAAATCTGCATTGATACTGGCAGCAGACAAATAGCAGCTCAAAAAGTACGAAGGTATCACCTGTCGCATGCGCCTACTATCAATATTTTTTTCTGTTATTCTCCACAAGTTGCAGTAAAATGAATTTATTTTCGACTCATTCACATTTTTCCACTAAAATCAATGTTTGTGACCGAATTGCGAATACTTCCGGTTGATGCATTTTGTATGACCACAAAAAAGCGAATTTTCGCTAAAAGTCTCATTGAACTAAAAATAAAGTCATTAGCTAGACTTACATTTGTTTACAGAAAAATGGATGATAGTGAATGGTAATAGGAGAATGCAATAAGTATTTCTTCGAATTTTTGCAATACTAACTACGTATTGAGTGACAGTGTATCTTTGTAAATACAGATTTTTTATTTCAGTCAGATTGATTTGATAGCGATTCCTCATATCCTCAATACACCTCGACGAGAAAGAATATTGAGTTTCCAATCAGAGTCAGTGCACTTTAAAAAGATCGGTTTATTACTAAACTTAACAAAAGGTTTAGCAAGCTGCTAAATCAAAAAAGGATCTTCCGCAGGGCACATGGGAAGAATCGTTACTTTAGAACCTTTGTTAGGTTTTGTAAAAAAGCTATAAAACTTTCTGAGTTTTTTTAAAATTTCGGGAGCTTTTTTATCAAAACCTCAAGGTGTTCTGTTAAACCTATGAAGTTTTGTAATTTCTTTATTAAACGCATTACTTACCCATAAAGCCTAAAAAAAGGTTTCGAAGTGAAGGTTCTTTCCATGTACTTGAGAGAAGATTCCTTTTTGGTTTAGCAGCTTGCTAAACCTTTTGTTAAGTGTTGTAATAAACCAATTTTTTTTAAAGTCTTGTATGGCACAGAACGGCTCTTATATATTATCATGATAAAAAGTTCAAATGTCTTCATCCTTTTTCAGGCAAACCTGACATTTAGCTCGTCGATGGAGACATATTAAGAGTTGTCAATCGGACAAAAATCCTTTAACAATACTTCTTAAAGTGTCACTATCCTCTTAAATGAGAAGCTTTAACATTCTGTGAACTCATTAAAAAATTCATAGACATACAGAGAAGTTCTTCTGCTGAAAATTGAGTTGTAAGTGAATTAATTAGTTTGAAACTAGCGCACCGAGTAGAGTCTTATGTGGTGAAAGAAAATGTACCCCGATAGTTTAGACAAACACAAGTTCACGAAAAATCCACAAGTTAAAAAGAACTTAACATATGCGTATTTCACATAATACTTTTTAAATCCTTTAAGGTTTATCACTTTTATCCGATCAAATCGTGATAATTTGAAGCGATATTTCAAGTATAAAGTGGGTGTAGGTATGGATGGGCGTGGGTATGGGTGTAGGTATGAATGGGCATAGGTGTGGATGGGTATGGGTCTCTGGGTGTAAACTATTTTTTAATCGCATCCAAACCCACACCCACACCCACACACCCACACCCGCACACCCACACACCCACACCCACACCCACACCCACACCCACACCCACACCCACACCCACACCCTAGCCACACCTATACACCCACACCCACACTCCACACCCTAGCCACACCCATACTCACGTCGATACCCTCAAGATATAACTAAAATGTTTAGGGATTCGTTAAAGAGTCTGATGTACTGCGATCTGATAAGGATATTTTCCGGAAAATGGGGTGGGTGTGACTGTCGGTGTGAGTGTGTGTGAATGTGGGTATGGGCGTCTTATACTTTGCTCTACACCCACACCCACACCCACACCGACACACCAAAACCCATTCACATCCACACCCACGCACCAAAACTCATCCACACCTACACCCACACACCAAAACCCACCCACACCTGCACCTGCACACCTGCACCCACCCACACCTACACCAACACACCAAAATCCACCCACACACCACAACCCACCCATACACCAAAACCCACTCACACCTACACCCACACACC